TTTTATTTTATATATTAAATATATTAAAATAAATGGAGAAAACAAAATCTTGCATGTTAAATTAAGTGCAAGCAGGCTTAAATAGATTCAATCTGAAATTTAATGATTTTGGAAATAATAATCATGTCTTCAATTTATCAATAAACAAATTTGTTAAATAAATAATTGTAATAGATTGATGAGATTAAAATCAAAGAAAGCACTTCGGGAAAAAAGTACATCCGTAAATATTTTATTCAAAAACGTAAAAAAACATAAACTTATAATATATTTCTACTTCGTACATACTTATACATATATCGAAATTTATATCAGTATATTGATTGGCTTTGCCATTGCACTCTCCTTTCGTTGTGCAAGAATCATAAGGAAAAGGTTGATTCTCGAACGGCACACGCGTTGTATCTCAGCCTCGATATGTCGAGACTTCCGGTCGTTCACATAGTAAAAATGTACTTTCTCGAGTATACGTTCATGAAATATTGGCGGCCGCGAGATGGAACGCTTTTGCTCATTATCTTTTACCAGTTGAATAAAATAATCTTAACATTTCTCTCAAAACTTCATGTTTCGATAAACTTAAAAAAAGTAAAAAAAAATTATATATATAATTATTTTATATAATATCAAACTTGAACGGTAATAAACTAACAATAAGATTCTCACATTACATTAATTATCCGCATCATTTAAACATAGATATTTCTATTATTATAACAATTATTATATTAAGTAGATCATTTTTCTCGTACCACGCCTTTATTCTAGCAAGACCAAGCAAAACTTCTTTAGAACATCTCAAATGGTAGTTTATACTATTAGTTTCCATTGAATCTCATTTGCTGTATATATAAAACTTTGTGTTTATAATTCTTTTTATGAAATTAACAAACACACATCTCCAAAATAAAAATAAATTTTGCTCTACTTCAGAATTAATTAAAAAATCTTGTTTTAATAATTATAAATAGTTCAAAAATTCAGTCATATAATTTGTATTACAAATTGAAACTCAGTCTCCTACTCGAATTAAGCTTCCATTTCTTTCCGCCGATAGAAAGAAAGCACAGTAATCATCGTATACAGTCGATGAACAATCAGTACTAATTCTCAGAGACGGGTCGTATACCAGACTGCTGTTGATTGTACCCAAGTTGTTGATTGTACCCAAATTGTTGATTGTATCCAAGCTGCTGATTCTGCTGGCCCGGATCATACGCGGGTTGTACACGAGACTGCGTGTACGAATTAGCTTGAGTCTGGTAAGCGCCACCCTGACCTTGATACTGCGCTTGCTGTACCGGTTGCTGCTGCTGCTGCGGTGGGTCCACGGAATGCGGTACGTACGGTTTATCCGGACGATACACGATCTGATTGGCGATGATGTTGTGCGGTATCTCCGCTTGGTACCTGAGCAATTCGCGTAGATGAGATGGCAGATTGGTCGAATATTGCGGCTGCTGCTGCTGCTGCTGCTGCTGTTGAGGATGCGTTTGACGTTTGCTTCTCGATTGACCGCGCGACTTGGGACGCCGGTCCGGCGCATACGTGGGCGCCTGTACCGGCGCGGGTGCGGGCGCGGCCGCAGCTTCCTGAGCCAACTGCCGGAGATGCTCTCGGACCTGCTGGGACTGAGCCTGCACCGCGGCCTCCTCGTCGAATCTGTGAATCGATCGATGATTGTAACTACGTATCTCGGTTTGCATCTTATACACGCGCGTATAATATTTTACAGATATCTTTTTTATAAAAAAAATATAAATAATACTTAATTGATTGAATATTGATAAAAATAAATTAAATATTTATTGATTAGAAGTATAGATAGATCGATAATTAGATGTCATCATTGCTCGGTACCTATATGGTTCCGGAATTACGTTGAGGTATGGAATCTGCTGCTGGAATTGCAGCAGTTGTTGGATTTGCTGCGGTGCATTGGAGTAAGGTTTGTAATGTGGAGCGGCCTGTACTTGCTGCTGCGGTTGCGGCTGCGGCTGCGGTTGCGATTGTGGTGGCGGCCGATACGCTCGCTGTCGAGGTGCGGGATGCTGAATTGGTGCCGCGGCTTGCGGTGCGTACTGCGGTTCCGCCTGCGCTTCCGGACGCGATTGACGATCGTACGATCTCCAGTTTACTCTGTAACCTTTTGATACATATTTATGTCAGATTAATTTGTTATGCTTATATGAGATAACATGGTAAAGCTATTACTGTACCGCTAGGATCGTTGTATTCGAGCGCCTTCGCGTTACCCTGATTAGCATCGTAAGGTCCTTGAATTAAGGACTGGCTGTGTCCATCGGTTGCCCCTTGTATAGTAAAAGTAGCCGCTCCACCATCCGTGGGCCCTTGAATCTCAAAGTTCGAGTGCCCATCGGTAGCACCTTGGATCCTGAAATTGCTGTTACCGTCGGTCGCCCCTTGAATGGTAAAATCTCCAGCACCCCCTCCTTCTAAAGATTGAACACACAAAGATATTGCATAGAAGACATAGAGATAAAGAAATGCTAAATCTACATATTTATTTATATAACTTGTGAGTATCTATCGGGGTACACCATTTTTTTAAATTAAATAAGATTTTTGATGATAGTATAACTTTTTTTGAAGTTATAAATTAGGATGTCACAAAATGAGGTAAATAACTATAAAAAAAGAAAAGAAATTTTTGCTTCGGACTAAAAATCATCAAAATTCATAAACTTTCGAAATCCGTTAAAATATGTTAAAAATATAAATCGTTTCGTTTATGCTTCCAAGTAGCGTTAGCGATCGCTTATCTGCGCTTACCGCTTGCATCTGTGTATTCGATTCCTTTCTCCTCACTGAACTTAAGACCCTGGGCTCGTCGATGCCCGTCGCTAGGCCCCTGGATTGAAAATTCAGCCAGGCACATAGGAAGTGCCATCAACAATAAAACCTATAACATTGAATTTAATACGAATTCGATATACATTTTGAAATGGCATAATAAAATGTTGCCGTTACAACTCATGCAAGATGAAAATTATTTCCATAAGTTATATAATAATTTAAATATTGTACACAGAAAAAAAATTTTAATTAGACAAAAAAAAATTAATAAGAGATCATTCATCAATAAAATATCAACAATTTCTATAGTTGCGTTAGTAATAATAATATTATGCTCGATAAATTATACTATATTTATTATATTAATTTGACCACTACAATAAAATAAATGAATGTACATTAATTATATTCGAACGTCTACATTGCTCTCGATATTAAGCGTGCTCGCTGATTTCATAACCAGATAGATAAACGATCATTATCTAACGCGCATGGCACTAAACCTGAATCTAGTATCTTACGAAGTTGTACTATATTGCATATATGGAAGTGTATCGAGCAAACGGGAAGCTGAAAGCGAAAGTCAGTGAGCGCATGAATCTTTAATCAGCCGGTAGTTACGGTAGTCGGGAAAAAGTGAGCACGTTCAACGTACGCGATCGCAAGACAGGAAAGTAGATGAAAAAAAGGTATGAATCGTAAGACGACGCGATTAAAGGGATCGAATGTAACAGTTACGGGTGTTACACGTAGGTAGAAAGTAAGGTATTATACACAATATATATTATGTGTGTGGGTATTAAATATATATATTTAATCGTCCAGGAACGTCTGACGCAATTATTCGGGAAAACAAGTTTCTATTAGTTTAAATTCGCTTGGAAATATTTTCGCGTGTAACCGGCGTTGTCACGGGACGAAATACCGTTCCAGAATTATACGTGCAAGGAATTCCACGCGCGAGTTTTATTTCGCGGAACGCGGAACCCCAGAGCGACATTTCGCGAGACACGTGACATGCATGCTGGTTATTAAGGCCTGCGAGTTTTCTCGATTAAGTAGGAAAACCGATAAAATAGAAAAATTAGTTTAAATGGGTAACATAGTATTAACAAAATAACATATATTAATAAAATATACGAAAGAAAAGTAATTCTTAGAAATGATTAATGAGCAAGTAGATATATAATTGAAGAAGAATAAAATATTATGATTAGAGCAAAAATTGAAATATATGAGATGCTCTGTTTATAATTGAATTTTTATATTTATTATTTGCATTTTATTGTAACTTGGTTTTGATTAGATAAAATGGTTTAGATAAAATTACATGAAGGAACAAAGCAAGTTGACAAAACGAACTACTTTCCATGTTAATAAAACTTTGATTCGCGAGCTTGCAACAAGATTTCGAAATCTTGATTGCTCGTATCCGCCAACTGATAATTGGCTCGCGAAATGCATTCCCGGGCAGTGACTGCGGTAATTAAGCTGCATTTCAAATCGTCGCCCGTCTTGCAACACCAGACGATGCAATTAAGTGCACGATATTTGTCATTTCCTTATACACGCTTGTTACCTTTCGATGTAAGACGGTATCTTTGGTAAAACAAGTTACTTTCTGTTTTCGAATCTTGCACAAATAAAATTTTAGAAGAATATATTTAATTTTTGTAACATGCTTGCGATATAAAAATAATAAATGATTGAAATAGATATAAAGTAACGTTTCACTAAAAAAAATAATTAAAGAATTTTATTATTAAAACAAAGTTTTAATAATATAATATTTTTGAAGAAATTTGAAGTGAATATCTATATAATTTTATTCTGCGAAGAAAAATTCGTAAGTCCATGGAACTACTAGTATCTATGAGAAGTAAGAATTATAAGCAGACAAAATAAAATAGAAAAAACGAAAATACAAAAGAGTACACGCAAATGTCGATAAAATCATCATTTGATAAATATTCGAAGAAGCATATCGCAATACGTTTAAACGCACAAGACGCTTCGTTCGAAGCATTATCGCATTTTTTATCTTTAACGCGCAACAAGATGATTTTCACGAATTACACACGGATATCTACGGGATTTATATGCAAATAAACTTCATACATTTTAATCGTTTTAAAAGTATCGAAGAAAAAACAGAAGCGTTGATACCGATTTCCGAGTCGTAGTATAGCCAATTTATTTCTCGTCCAAAAAAAAACTCGCATATCCAATGTAATTAAGCGCACGCGACTTTATCTCATCTACATCACCTCGTCAAAAAAAAAAACATGATTCTTGGAACACACGCGTATTTTGTACATCGTTTTTCTCTATGTTTATCGATATGAAGACTTTCGAATTTAAGAAAAAACAGAATAAAATTGTACTTACATGCACTTTCATGGCGAGAAAGCTAGTCGAGCTGCTGGTTCGAGGGTGGAGTGTTTCTGAGGCGGGCGCGCGGTTACCTGAACAACTTTATAGTCGGCCACGTAAAAGGAACCTTTCGACGACGGGGATGTGACTCGGCGAGAGCCACTTCCATCATGCATCGCGTCCGCCAGCCAGTCGGCCGATATCCAACAATTACTGTTCTTTTTGCAAAGTATGAGCGTAAAAAAAAAAATGCTTCCGGCCTTGAGTAACGGTCATATTAATTACGTTGTTTTATTTGTAGAATGCTTTAATAAATTGAAATTTCGATTCTTCAACTTTAATTTTTCATTGTTATGCAAGATGTAAAAAATTTTAATGGATGAATTCGAATCAACTATTGGCAATTGATTGGAAAATGATTTAATCTTATAAATTTCTTCAATTTGTTCATTGCAAGCTTATTACATCTTTATTTTAATTGTTTAAATATAAAACAGAAAATAAAGAAAGAATTGATATTTCGTGTACCAATAGCACAAAAATTATTACATAAAATATTTTTGAAAGGTTATTAATGTGTTTTTTTCTAAATAATTTAATTTTACCTTTACGATAATTTAATGCAATTTTAATTTTATATTATATACGCGCTTATTTGTAAATAAAATCTCAAGTTTTGTTTGCCTTGTCAAACTTTCTTCATGCAATATAACGGAGGAACGGCTTACTAATGAGGCATCCATCTCCTATGCAATGCATAATCGTGAAAAGTCTTGAGTGCACCAGTGGAAAACAAACTAGCCGTAGCGGAATGCGATTCAATTCAAAGTTTCCCAAGCAATCGCCTCGCAAAGGTTACGGTGCGAAGACCACGCGCATCTTCAATTAATTGCCGACATTGAATTGAATCATTATCTTATCATGTTACATAAAGGCACGTTATACTCTTTATTGTTTTTAGAATTAAAATAATGAAAATAATAATGTGGACCCAAGTTCTGGAGCAAAAAAGTTTCAAAGATTCCCCTTTACTATAATATTACTTGAGTTAACGCCATAGGTAATTATTACAAAAGTGTCATTAGAGAGAAATTACTCTTTAATATGCGTAATGCACAATTCCAATTTTCTTATAAGAATATACCTATAAATCAACATCATTTTTTATATTACATTCCTGATTCGACATATCCTGGAAATTATAAATTCCTATTTTTGCAATAGATTTGATAATAATCTCTGATGCTTTATATTATTAAAGTCTTATATTATTAAATTCCTGTCTTTGGTACGCAATTATCGTAGCGTACTTCTATTTTGTTCAATTATTCGACTGCAAAGTCGTTCTCTTACTTATAAGTGGAAATGCCATTATGTCAGTTTGCAGTAGAAAGTTACACCATGTCGCATTACATTGCAAACAAATACTCGATCTCCCGTGAAATTACAGATTATCCCAAGGCTTACATTGACATCTGAAAATAATACAATACGATTCAATCTCTCTAAGAAACGATACCCGATAGATAAAACGGGACGATGATATGTACAGAATGATTCACGAAGAGAATGGATAACTTTAGAACCTGATTTATATCAGGTAGTTAGATTTAAAAAAAAATAAAATATTCCGTATATGATAGAATACCAATTGTATGTGACTAGTTATATAAATTAAGATTACTATCAAATAAACATTGTATTTAAATAAAATGGGAAATGTAATTTAATAGATTAAAGTTTATCATACTTTATAAGTTTATATATTTTTTATAATGTTTATTTCATATTTTTTTATATTTTTCTATATTTATATTTTCCTAGAAATTTCTTTTACACTTCAACTAATTTTAAATCTTGCTATGATAAACGCAATTAATCATTTGATAATGTCATGAATCATTGCATAAACTTATAAATGTGGCAGTAATTTTCTTCAAACAATGATGAATCCAAAGAGCGTGACCCTGGCAAATTATCTATCTGTAATGCAAACGCCAGTAAGAGAAGCAAAAAGATGAAAGTTGCATCGTGCCATATGAGCAAAATGACGTTCACAATTACAACGCCTGGACGGTACGTCGATACAGGAAGCGTGAATGCTACGAAAGTGAACCATCAACCTTGTCCGGAGAAATGCTATTTCCGTTTTGGAAGCACTATCTCTACGCGAAATTTAAAAAAGACTTGATACGCTTTTTGAATTCACGCATTATAAATGTTCTTACCTTGTATTGTCATGCATCAATGACGAAATACGTTTGATTGGATTTCTAATATCATGTATCATTTCTGCAATCTATAGAAGATTAATATGTTTCTGAATACAAACATAAATTCTGTTAATAAATGTTACAAGCGTGTATTCCTTTCTCTTATCAGGATCACATCTTGTGTGTGTGAGTGTGTGTGTATGTGTGTGTGTGCGCGCGCGCAATCATTTCTTTAATTTATGCAAATCAATCTGATAACTTTTTACATCACGCTGTCGATTCATTTTCTTTCGTAAAATCTATGCTTTGAACGCGCTCTTCTCGTTACATTGTAAATTTCTGCGCAAGGTGCAGTATCACTTTCTAATATCACGAGGAGATCCGATATCTTTATTAAATAGAAAGCTAAAAATTGTCTGACTTTCTATTTATTTAAATAATGTGGAAATTATTTTCATATATAATTAAACAAATCACGCATCGTGTAAAACGTAAATTTTCTGAAAGGAGTAGACTTACGATAGACTAAATTTATCGAATTTTTGCTGGCGTGCTTGCTAACTTACTTTTTTTTAAGAGCGGAAGTTCCGCCAGTTCCGCGAGCTGAAATAATAAAAGCGAAGATTACGCGACAGCAAGGTGAATGACTTTCATGATACCAGTAGCGGAAACGATATTTATTTCGTACAAAAACTTACATTCTTCGCGCTACCGTGTTGTTAAACATTTTCTATCTTACATAAATGCGAAAAATTAATTGAATATAATCTTATAATTAATTAAAATAAAAATAAAAAGAATTGATTGAAAAGAGACCAATCTTATCATTAACTCATAGACCAATTCTATCATTTTTGTTTTGACGAATATTCGGTTGTTATTATTATTTTGATAAATTTCCATTCTTTTCTATTTCTTCGAATAGCACTCCAATTAAACATTTTCTTCTTCATTTTTAATTTATTATTTTATTATAAATTTTTCTTTTTTATGAATTGTTTTACATTAGTTTTATAAATCAAACAATTAGTTCTTCTAATTACTCCATCTGGTTCTTACGATTGTCAAGAAACTATCATTGGGAAATACACGGCAATGCAAGACATATAGTCATAAAAGCGTCAATAAACGATGCTATAATTTGAGGCGTATAAGACGCTCATCTTAACAAAATCCTGATGACGCCAGAAACACTGAAAGCCATTTCCATCAATGAAAATGGAATTCGATTCGAGCGAGTCTTGAGATAAGCCAGCCGTTTCTCTTTGAAAAGCCTATCAAAACAGAATATTAATATATTTATATTTTTAATCGTATTAAAGGCCAGACAATTAATGACGCTGGTCCTTGTCGATCGGATTGTTCTGTGAATATTCCGCGTCGATGTTTTCATCGTCCGTATAGTAAACCTTGCTACGATAGTAATTAAGTTCCTTCTCGTTATCGGACAACGGTTTGGGGATGAAGATGCTCTTCGGCCTATACTGGATGCGATTCGCTGTGACGACGTACGGTATCTGTGCCTGATATTGTAACAACTGCTTGATCTCCGTAGGCATATTCTTATCCAGGTACAGCGTGGGTGCCGGAGGATCGGGCAGAGTTCCAATCGGCAACGTCACCACTTGTTGTTGTTCCTGCTGCTGCTGCTGCTGCTGCTGCTGCTGCTGCTGCTGCTGCTGCTGCTGCTGTAGCTGCTGCTGCTGCTGCTGCTGCTGCTGCTGCTGCTGCTGCTGCTGCTGCTGCTGCTGCTGCTGCTGCTGCTGCTGCTGCTGCTGCTGCTGCTGCTGCTGCTGCTGCTGCTGCTGCTGCTGCTGCTGCTGCTGCTGCTGCTGCTGCTGCTGCTGCTGCTGCTGCTGCTGCTGCTGCTGCTGCTGCTGCTGCTGCTGCTGCTGCTGCTGCTGCTGCTGCTGCTGCTGCTGCTGCTGCTGCTGCTGCTGCTGCTGCTGCTGCTGCTGCTGCTGCTGCTGCTGCTGCTGCTGCTGCTGCTGCTGCTGCTGCTGCTGCTGCTGCTGCTGCTGCTGCTGCTGCTGCTGCTGCTGCTGCTGCTGCTGCTGCTGCTGCTGCTGCTGCTGCTGCTGCTGCTGCTGCTGCTGCTGCTGCTGCTGCTGCTGCTGCTGCTGCTGCTGCTGCTGCTGCTGCTGCTGCTGCTGCTGCTGCTGCTGCTGTATACTGGATGCGATTCGCTGTGACGACGTACGGTATCTGTGCCTGATATTGTAACAACTGCTTGATCTCCGTAGGCATATTCTTATCCAGGTACAGCGTGGGTGCCGGAGGATCGGGCAGAGTTTCAATCGGCAACGTCACCACTTGTTGGTGTTCCTGCTGCTGCTGCTGCTGCTGCTGCTGCTGCTGCTGCTGTAGCTGCTGCTGCTGCTGCTGCTGCTCGTAATCCTCCTCGTAGACGACTCTATCCTGACGCTCTATCCTATCGTTATAGCTTTGAGGATCGATCGACTGGTATCTCGCCGCTGTTTGCAGGTAGGCAGCTTGAGGAATTTCGGAAGCAGCTGGAGCTGGTTGCTGCGGCGGTTGCTGTGGCGGTTGCTGCGGCAGTTGCTGCGTGTATTCGCCGCCATAGAGGAAGGACGCGGGATCGACGTAGGGAGCCTGTGGCTGATAGACCGAGTTGATCAGTTGCCTGATGTGACCCGGCACCGCGGAGTACGGCTTGTAGCTGTAATATCGCGGAGTCTGCTTGAGTAGCTGGGATTGGGGCTGCGGAGCGTGTTGTTGCGGAGCTGTTTGCTGAGTTTGCTGAGTTTGCTGAGCTTGCTGAGTTTGTTGAGTTTGTCGAAAACGATGGGACGAGCCGCCCTCGGCTTGGGACCGCTCTACGTTCGCCAGTTGCGATCGCAACTGGTTCTCGGGTATGATGTACTTCCAGTTGACCCGCGAGCCTGCAACGTCGAGAGAAACGCTTTGTCACTATCGCAACTATCTGCCACCACGATTAATGCTTGTCGTTGATTATCGGTGCTTACGCAACACCGACCTCTCGTCGAGCATCACCAAGGAATTGTTCTAGAGATCTGGGATATGAAAAGAGACCCTCGCGTGCATTGCGATATTAATAGAGGTAACACTTAATTGCGTTGCATCGGGGCCAAGGTTCCCGAAGTGTATTTTTAATGAGCAATTGCGAAAGATAAAAAAGCCTCTCCTACTCACCATCAATTTCGTCGTACTTGATATGCCTTTCAGGAGCGCGAAAGGGCCTCTCTACGTTTCTCGTTTGCGCCCACGCGGTTGAAATTACCGCAATAAAAATTATCTGTAAACGAATTAGTAATCAACAACATTAATATAATCCGGCAATTTCATATAGAATTGATTCTAATTTGAAAGTAATAAAAATGCTTGAATAAATGTGAGATATGATTTTAAAAAATTATTCATGAATTAAAAAATCTGTAAAATACGCGATAAGATCATATCAACTTCATCGAAAATCGATTTATATTATTTAAGACTAATGATATATTGATTAGCACCAACAATCAGACGACAATCCATCCTTAACAATCACATTGTCAAAAAGCTCCACAAAATGAGATTTGTCTGATTGCACGCTGGTGAAATATTTCTCGTCACTGTATTAATAAATTATATCAACGCGATCGATCAATCAAAATATTCTAAGCACTCACTGATAGTTTCATGACTGCGTGCGGAGAGAGAGATGTACGCGGATGATCGCGTCGACTTTACTCGCAGAAATCAGCTGGCGGAGTCGGCGTGGCTCTTCTATATAGTCGTGGTCGCCCCGGCGTAATTGGCGGCGCGGGTACAGGGCCGGTGGCTACCTACTTTTAGAGTAATTCCGCCTCGACTAACGAGCGAATTACGGCAAAAGACCCTCCCCGAGGATATATTATCACTCCTTGCAAGTAAATGCATTTTTCCGATGTAACAGTATTGTAAAATTGCTCCCAGAAGCGATTAAAAGAAATTTACCGGTGAATCCGAGAGTTTTAGAACAACCCCTCCACACGAGATTTTACTCTCCTCGCTATTACGTACGCGCGATAATTTTTCATTAATTGCAATCTGACAGATTTACACAACAGAAATTATTGTATCTCGAAAATTCCTACCAAATTTATCGCAATGCATTTTTTGCTCTTTCAAATTTCTGTTCGCAATTTAGAAAACACATTGTCTTTCTATTAAATATATATAGAAAACTTTTCTTTTGTTAAAATATTTTATCTTCTTTATCTTTACATAGTTATTATATAATCTCATTTTTCTTTCAATATAAATGATGTTATCAAGAGATACACATTTTTCAAAGAATTTTCTCTATCATTGATATAATTAAAATTGGTCAACGAAAGAATTGAATATATTAATGCGTTGACCGCACATGTTTTCTGAAGTGGTTTTTTACATTTGAGAAATTGTAGTGGAATTGCTCCACGCGATCCCGAGGATTTTAACGAGGCTTCGTGGCGCAACAAGAAACATCGGCGAAATGTATTTTAGCTAAATCCGCATTTCAAAGCGCTAAAACAGAGCCGTAAAGTATACACTTAAATTGTCTCAAATGAAAAGTAATGATGCTATAGACACGAGAAGAAAGCATTCGGTGTACAAGCAAACTTCCGTAACAATTCTCATTACGATATAACAAAGTATAGAGTAACATAGAATTGGATGAAGTGAAAAAGAAGTTGAAACAAGAGTCTCTTGTTCCGTATATTACGAGCAGTCGGATACTGTGATTTGTTCCTTGACTTTAATCATGTGAAGTGATAGTGATATGATTCTATAGCATGAGAAAAAAATAAATTATAAAAGATAATAAGAAAAAGAAGATCAATTCTGGGAAACATCATATAAAAAATTTTTTAATACAGGAATTTAGCTGCAGCGTAAAATGTGAACGTAATATTAGAGCATCTAATATAATATAATTTCTTTAAAAATTTGCAGAAAAGAAATTATATAATATTAGAAAGAATATCTATTTATACTTGTTTATTAAGATTGCTGTTTTGATATTTAATATTAAAAATTTCATACATTTAAAATCTTAAGAACGTTTAACTGAATTGAATTGGAGCATATCAAAATTTCCGATAACGTGAATCAAGCTTGAAACAACGCGGATTTTCCCAGTTCAACGATAATTGAAACAAGCTGAAAAAAATATTATTTTGCAAAGTGTTCTATAAATACTCTATGTGCGTTGCATACAATTAAATTTACGACGTGTAAATGATCTGCTGTGCATTAAACACCACCGATATGCGTCATCGGTAACATGCAGCGGTCCGCCAATCTAATCGTAAGTAAAATTAAGTGGTAAAATGCGGTAAAAAATCGATTTAATATTGATCTATAAATTTCGCAAAATAATGGATCTCGTCGGTTTTATTGCTCCGCAGAAAAGAAACCTCTCGAACGACGAGATAATTACGCGGCTGCGTGACGTTCACAAACTTCTAATACGATGAGAATGCAACGTAACCATTCGTAAGCAACGAGCATTATTTTAACGCATTGACGTATTAAGTTGCCAATTAGAAATCATGAATCGGAAATAACATATCCTGTTGCTTTTTATATTCTTAGGGATAATATAAAATTTTTACATTTTACGTAATTAATATTAGATATATAACCCTTTAATACATTTCGATGTTTAAATAAGATGTATACATATAGCACTCATTCCACTCTAAATATAAAATCTTTTTTCACTAAACAATCAAATTTCAAATTATCAAAGAATTCGAGAAGTCATTTAGAGTGAAGGTAATACAGAAAATAAAAAAAAGACAAAAAATTTCTTAGATATGTACGTAAGATTAGAAGGGAACAAATTATGTAAAAGCCGAAGAGGAAAATGTGCGCCGCGATTAAAAATCTATGAAAATCTCGTAAAACGGCGGTTCTTAACAATCTTCTCCTTTTCCCTTGTCGGAGCCAAATTGACGGCAATTTTCGGAATTGCGAACGGGAGGCAAAACGTTGCGACACATGGACCCGAACGGAGCGTCGACCTCCGCGCGAATATAGATGAGGAAAGCTCGCGACCGCGATAAGATTCGAAAGGTACGATCGGCGGGAGAAGAGGAAAAAGAAGAATTTGACAAGGAGGGAACGACCGGAGAAAGTCAATTATTTTTGATCGATCAACGGAAAGGACTTTGTGTCCGCGGTGTCTGATATCGCGGCGCGCCGGAAACTCACTTCATGTACGCGGACGAAGAAATGCACTTCCTTCCATTCGAATGATGTCTGCGATATGCGATATCTCGACAATGCATTGTACTTCCACGCTCGATAGAAATCATGCATGGATTAATTCGCTTCAATGCAATTTGCCTTTACAATCTAAGAGTTTGCTTAGAAAGTGATTTATTAGACGCTCCAGAGATCAGGGAAAAGAGAATCACGCATAAGAGCAACATAAAAAAAGTTGCGTAAATCGGCAGAAATATTTCGTTCCGTGAATAACTGATATTCCGTAAACAACTAATATTTGCATCCGCGTATGCAACAGAATTATGCGTTTTGTAAATGAAAGTGGTACAGGATATTTTATTGTTAATTTGTCGATACAGAAGATATTATTTTGCAAAGTGTTCTATAAATACTCTATGTGCGTTGCATACAATTAAATTTACGACGTGTAAATGATCTGCTGTGCATTAAACACCACCGATATGCGTCATCGGTAACATGCAGCGGTCCGCCAATCTAATCGTAAGTAAAATTAAGTGGTAAAATGCGGTAAAAAATCGATTTAATATTGATCTATAAATTTCGCAAAATAATGGATCTCGTCGGTTTTATTGCTCCGCAGAAAAGAAACCTCTCGAACGACGAGATAATTACGCGGCTGCGTGACGTTCACAAACTTCTAATACGATGAGAATGCAACGTAATCATTCGTAAGCAACGAGCATTATTTTAACGCATTGACGTATTAAGTTGCCAATTAGAAATCATGAATCGGAAATAACATATCCTGTTGCTTTTTATATTCTTAGGGATAATATAAAATTTTTACATTTTACGTAATTAATATTAGATATATAACCCTTTAATACGTTTCGATGTTTAAATAAGATGTATACATATAGCACTCATTCCACTCTAAATATAAAATCTTTTTTCACTAAACAATCAAATTTCAAATTATCAAAGAATTCGAGAAGTCATTTAGAGTGAAGGTAATACAGAAAATAAAAAAAAGACAAAAAATTTCTTAGATATGTACGTAAGATTAGAAGGGAACAAATTATGTAAAAGCCGAAGAGGAAAATGTGCGCCGCGATTAAAAATCTATGAAAATCTCGTAAAACGGCGGTTCTTAACAATCTTCTCCTTTTCCCTTGTCGGAGCCAAATTGACGGCAATTTTCGGAATTGCGAACGGGAGGCAAAACGTTGCGACACATGGACCCGAACGGAGCGTCGACCTCCGCGCGAATATAGATGAGGAAAGCTCGCGACCGCGATAAGATTCGAAAGGTACGATCGGCGGGAGAAGAGGAAAAAGAAGAATTTGACAAGGAGGGAACGACCGGAGAAAGTCAATTATTTTTGATCGATCAACGGAAAGGACTTTGTGTCCGCGGTGTCTGATATCGCGGCGCGCCGGAAACTCACTTCATGTACGCGGACGAAGAAATGCACTTCCTTCCATTCGAATGATGTCTGCGATATGCGATATCTCGACAATGCATTGTACTTCCACGCTCGATAGAAATCATGCATGGATTAATTCGCTTCAATGCAATTTGCCTTTACAATCTAAGAGTTTGCTTAGAAAGTGATTTATTAGACGCTCCAGAGATCAGGGAAAAGAGAATCACGCATAAGAGCAACATAAAAAAAGTTGCGTAAATCGGCAGAAATATTTCGTTCCGTGAATAACTGATATTCCGTAAACAACTAATATTTGCATCCGCGTATGCAACAGAATTATGCGTTTTGTAAATGAAAGTGGTACAGGATATTTTATTGTTAATTTGTCGATACAGAAGTTTTATAATCGTATATTTTTTATATTTACGCAACGCCCCGCGTGATTGCAGATGTAGAAATAATCGTAAACGGGAGAACTGTCTGATAAATTCGAGGCCGAGAGCAACGAGAACCGCGCTTTCGCCATGCTGCGAGTTATTAAAGAAATCGGAAATGTAATGAGCAAATTATAAATCGCAATTAATATGTATGCTTTGAGGAAATTAAACTACACTCGGCTTAATTTTCCGTGAGATTTGCGCCATCGATTTCAATTTAGCGATGCCGTAATGAAAGTAAAACTCATTACCGCGATCGTAACGAAGAATGGTTATTACAACGAGCGAGAAATAATTTTGCTTTAATGAGCGCTTTGGAATAGAGAAACCTGATGATAAAAATTATTTCAAGGATTGTGCACGACGCGCCAACTTCGAAGAATGCTCGAAGCTACATCATGCTATCCCTCTGATGATCCATTGTAAGTCAGTAAGCGTTCTGTAGTAACGTCGATATATAATCTGCTGTAGAGTACAGAAAAGCCTGAAGTCTGAGTTCTTAACATTTTGAGTCCTCAGTAAAACAAACTGTGAGAGTGTACAGGCTTTCCTGCTTTTATTTTCTCAAGGCTTTGTTATTTATAAAAATAATAGATTGTAATTGTAATTTAAATCGATAATAACTCCTTTTTTTAACTTCTTATATTACATTGATATGTTGTATATGTATATCTTCGGCTTCTTTATGTTTTTCCTTTTTTTCTTCAATTAATCAAAGAGTGACGTTGTAAGAAAAGTATTGTGTGTTCACATTGTGTGTGAGCTATATTTACATTGATTTTATTACATTTCTTTTAAGTGTAAAATTATTTAATTTATACCTACAAGGGTAATTTTTATTTGAAAATAGGAAAATATATTTTTGCCGCTTTCTTTCAAAAAGAAACCCAAAAGAAGGATTATACTTCCTACAATAAGAGTGTTGTCAATTTAAAAAATAGTTTAGAATTCCAAAGATTCTTCTTTAATAAAGAAAATAAATAAATCTAAATATATTCTTATAAAAATGAGCGTTTCATTAATAGTTATTATAAATAAAAATATAAAACTTTAATTTAAAACTTTATCGACACAAGCAAGTTAAAATTAATGTCGGAGATGTTGACACGCCGCGTAAACTATGCGGACGAGATATTTGTGCTTCTCACACGAGCCTATGGAAGAAATGTCAGTCTAAGTTATCAAGGGGAAAGTACGAGGACTATAGCTTGTACAGAAAACGTTCGTCGGGCGTGGTGGAAGACCGGTATGATCAACGTCTGGGATCCGCGCGGGTTGCCATCAAGGCCTCTTCGCCGGGTCGACCTGAACCAACTCGTCGTATAAAACGCCCCTCTCGTCGATTTCTGGATGCATTGTTATACTTCCCGCTGCTTAACGATCCATTACTCCTTCATCATGCGCGCTGCATTTGTAAGTTCTTCGCAAGTATCTGTCTCTGCGTCTCTCTCCCCTTAAATTGCGCTTCATTCATTTCTTCTCATCAAGATATAATGATTTATTTATATATAATATATTGAAATGTATATATAAATATGCAATTAATAGATATAATTACAATAACGTAAGGATACAATTAAATTCCATCGTACATTGAATAAAAAATATAAATATTCCCTTTCTGTCAGATTTTTTAATTTTAATTTATATTCGAAGTTCAAGTTATTTTATTATTTGCAGATTATTTTGTTGATTGTCATCATTGGTGTTTCCTGTCAAGAGCCCCGTTATCAATCGCCGCATCAAGCGGCAATTTTGAGCGACGCGCGGTATCTCGCGGGTGATGGCACATTTGGTGCGGCCTATTCTCAAGAAGACGGCGTTGAATTTAAAGAGGAGAGCGATGTAGAAGGTAACCGACGTGGATCATATTCGTATGTCGATCCAACCGGGCAAAGGCGCACTGTCACCTATACGGCGGGAAAGAATGGTTTCCAGGTACGCAAAATACACGTTTATTTATTCAAATCATTAACTCTGTGACGTAATATTAACTGAAAACAATCAAATATTTTTATATAAATTCTTATTTTAAAGAAAACTAGACATTGACATGAAATATCAATTAAGTTGCAAATAAATGTAAGATTGAGAAATCGATTGAATCCAGCATTATTTTAAGGCGCGAAATCAATCAGAAAATGAGATATAAAAATTAAGTTAATTTTATTTAATTAATTTTAATCGAGAGAGGAAATTTATATTAAATTAATTCTCGTCTCGCAGGCGACTGGGGATCATATTCCCACCGCACCTCCGCAGGTACCACCGCAGCCGGAATACGTACCGTTGTCGCAGTATAATCCACCGGATTATCAACCCCCGAGTTACGCGCCACCACCTCTTCAGCAGTATCCACGGCGCTATCAACCGGCGGATTATGAACCGCAGCCTGCCGTTTACCAGCCGCAGCCTCCACCGCAATATCGATACCGACCGCAGCCGCAACCTAGTTATGATCATCCCTCGGAATTACAAAGTATACCCTCGCACGCACCTCCGAGGCCGCATTACCAGCCTCAGCTTCGTCCCGCGCCGCAGTACAACGCGATAACGACACCGGCGCCCCGAAATTTCTCTCCACCGGGAAAGCTCAGTTTCAACCGAACCCCTGATGGCTTCTCTTACACGTTCAGTAAAAGTTAAATGGCATATAAATTAAATGGAAGATGCGGCGATGCATTTACAACGCGATATTAAGCTATAAGTAAAGTTTTTAATGTGATAAAAGATACACACATAACTTCGATGCACATATAACTTCGAATCTTAACAGATCAAGATCTACCATTAATTAAAAAAGAATTCAAGATTTTAAATACAAGCGTCGAATATATACCTATATCAACGAATAACAAAAAAATAACTAAGAAAAATGTATCAAGTGTGAAAAAATATCATTTATTTCAAAATCATCGTCGTGATATTCGTTTTCGTTTTTATCTCAAATCTTTAATTAATCATAAATTTAACGTACACGATTGATATAATAATTATTACGTTTTTCTTCTTGTATCTCTATTAGCAATTTTATAAAAAAATATATGAAAATGAAATATAATAAAACATCGAAACTATACAGAATCGAATGACTTTAATCTTGCTGCGTTCGTGCAACACCCAGTGTGTCTCACATAACAAATTTCTCGCACAAATGCGAGCACGATCACGTGTTTCATAAAGTCAGTTCACTTTCATCCGGTAACCTTTGCATTCTCCTGATGTTGCAATTGAGAATCCCACGATACCGCAGAAAATAAAGAGATACGCCCCCAATATACATATATTTGTACAAATGTAACATATCAGAGAGAAATATGTTTAGTCCAACACAAATTTTTTATCTAACTCGCGCAATTACTATTAATTAAATTCATTTAACTTAAGTATTATTATAAGATCTCAGTTTAACTTTTCAATAACAAATGATATTATGTTTTACATTAATGAATTAAAAAAAATGTTTCTTAATTGTTCCTTTTCTCATTACGTACTTTTATAATGTAAAATAATTACCAATTTTTGTACAAAATTTTATTATTTATGAAAATAAATTCAAAATCGGTATGAAAATGTAAGCTCACGAACATCTACTATAAATATACCGTTCTTATTCTGTAAAAGACGCGGGAAGAAAAAGCAGACAAAGGAGTGATTATCTTATTATCCAGGATTGCGAGTGATAATGCGAGTGTACCACGCCATCGAGAAGGGTCGGCAAGGGCGAAGAAATAAAAATGCAACGAAGTCGAGCCGGTTGGCTAGCCATTATTATTGTTAGCCCGTAATACGGGCGCGGCGCGATCCGACAAGGCGAACCGCCTGTATCCGAACAGGAACTCGGCAACCTTAGGTGGGCAGAAAGAAATGCATACCGTGATATTTCAACGTCATCCCGATATTGTCGCCCGAGAAAACTAGCATTATAATATCGCCGATCGAACCGATAACATAGTTTCACCGTTGCGTTAGTACTATCTTTCTATCTCTATGACTTTCGTATGCAATAAATCCTTATGCGCGTAAGGATTAATATCTATTGTTAACAGCAATTAATACAAAACTCGACGTAATTTTGGTCGTGTTTTATTTATAAAGGTATATTGAGTATACATTTCGTTTTATAATTATGGCAGTAATATACAGACTCTGATTAGCTGCGCGTGACATCAACAATATAAAAGTAGTCTAAAACAGCTGCTATAGAGGCAGTGTATCATCGAACGTTCACTCCTCGTAACAGAAGAACGAAAATCAAATAAATGCCGTCTTATCTAAGTCACTAACTTATTCCAATGTCTTATTTATGCCGATGTGCCTCCCTAACACGTGAATTCAAATGATGACGATGGTATGGATAAGTCCCAGAGAAAAGGCACTATAAGTCTATTCTTCAAAATCCTCAAAGAACGTTACGTACCGCCGTGAAAATTATTGCATTTACTCTCTTGCACGCGTCGTTTTGTTTTTCTCATATAAAACTTTTACGAAATAAAATCAAAGTTACAGCGCGAACTAGCATATATTATCAAGAGATACAGTAGTGTCTCACGCGAGACAAAGACCGCGTTACATTTACGTCAAACGTTAAGCGTGTAAGCGCAGCATGTATTTCTTGTTCCCATATGCTAGCTCGAATGCTTCTAAAGTTCTCTATTAAACGCTATTAATAGTAGATGTAATGACAGATTAATAGGCAAATGTTAACTATTTATCTCCTAAAAGTGCGAATATTAACTCCAAAGGCATTAATCTGAATTTGATTGCACTTTTGTCTCAGTTATGCACACAGTAAGAAAAAACAATACATGCACGCGGCAAACAACAGATGCACAGATAAACATCGTAAAGTAAATATCAATCCCGCGACGTCGCAAAACTTCATTCATTAATCTCTCACTACGTTAAAAATATATTTAATCCAAATATTAAATTCAGAAAAAAACTCGAAACGTTCCCATAATTGTTTGTCATACGCATGGTAATCTAAGACAGTCGCTATTGTCGCTATTGATTACTTCTATTGACATAGTTGTAAATGTTACACAAAATATACGCTCAGCATTAGGCTCCGACTTTTGATTTTTACATCACGCAGAGGCACGGTCGTCCTAAAAGCGATCGTCGAATGGAAAACAATCCGGAAGCGGATTTGTACGTGGGAAAGGAGGCACGGCAGTCTCGCGTTTTTAGCGCATTTTACTGACTTATCTTAGGGTATTATTCTAGGGAGACGAGAGAGAGGAAATTTAAGCGCTGTAACAAGCGGATCCTACCGGCTTTTTTTTTTAAAGATATAGTTTGTTCACAATGCAAATTCACGGTAAGACGTTCGAGAATATCTGTCAATGTGTCGATACATGTATTCGGTCTCCAGCTGGAAATTCGATTATTGTCGCTAATTTCCCTTTGCGAATAATGGATATATTTATATACGTATGTTTTTCTTTGTAATAAAATCGATAAAACGATGAGATTGTTTTTTGACTCACATATAAAAAAATTACAATTCATTATCCGAAATTTAGATAAAATGCAAGATTAAAAAAATATCTTTCTCTTCGTATTTTATCGCGCAATACGTAGTGTTTTATTTGATTGATAATTAACTAACAAAGAAACACCTTCTCGTCCCATTCTCATGTTATATATATAATAACTAAGTATAAATTTCTGTTGAACATCCTTGATTAAGTACATTCTAATACTTTATAAATCCCAAGGATGATCGTAACAATAGAGAATAAGCATACCATAGTAGAAAAAAAACAGCAATAAAAAAATTCTACTTGCATAAAAAATCAATTAATAATATTAAGATTTTCAGCATGTGTTTCACGTTTCTTTCGGATAGTGTGTCATATGTGAAAGACATGTCTATTTCTTAGAGAAAATGCTTTTAAAAAAAATTTTTTTTTTAATATTAAAATTTTCTCACGCACTTAAAGCATTTTAATTTTTGTTTTCAGCGTAAGCTTTGCTTTTAGACATATGACCCATAGTCAACACTTATGCTATACCACAGCGGCGATCTACGTTTGGTATACAAATTGACAATGTATCACACAGAGATACACTATCTTTGGAAGATCATAAAGTTTCGCCAAAAACATCGTACAATTTACTGAACAACGATGGTCTAGCACGTTTCAATACACATATAGGCAAAATGAATGACTGAATGCCAAAGTATATAAAAGCGATAGATATACAAGATGATTTGCCTATTTTGAGATGCATTCAAATTGATTCTATACTTTGAATGCTTCTAGATGTTTGAAAAACGTTGAAAAATGTTTTTGAATCAATTTATTTAAATCTATATTCTATTAATGCGTAGAAAATCCAAATTACCGGGAAAAACGTTCGAAATTTTCAAAAGCATCAAGCATGGAATGCATCATTAATAAAATCGTTTCCAAGATTTAAAAATCATTTGTATCTTTTAAGAAATAGGATTATATATACGATATTTTTTTTTGCTTCCATATATAAATGTTTTATATATATAAAATTTTATTCTGGTGTAAAATATGAAATATCTCATAAGATATTTTTTAGATTATATCTTAACTTAATATTCTCGCGTAGAGTGATTCATTTAAAATATCTGACATCTAGAACAAAATGCGCGCAATTAAGATAATCCCATCGAATTAATGATATATAAGATAAATAAGGTTTTTATTCGAAACGTTATTTCATATCATAAAAAATAAAAGAGTTACTTGAGACCATTAAGTTAGAGGTAAATCATCTTGTATAAAAATTCGATATAAAACATAATTAATTTTCCAAATAATGTAATCCGTCAACGACGCGCGGCACAATTCATTATTCTTAATTTCAAAATCTATATCAAATGACACAATAGCATTGAAATAATAAAAATTCTCTAAATTATAACATTGCAATGTAAAACGTATATACACATATATATAAAAAAATATAATAGCATTGAGAACAAACCTGTACATCAGGGAGTACATTCTGCTATGGCCTGCTATTTTGTAACTCTTTAAGTATAACTTTTTTATCCAATTTAAAGTATGCAGCAATATGGTGTTTTTTATATTACGAATAATCGATCTCTCTGTGTATTTGTTTTATGAGATTATATACGAATACACTTTTATATATGTACTATGTATATATATTAAAAAGTTACAAAATAGGTCTGCTGGTACCTATGGATGGCGGGAAGCTAGCTATGTAGGAACGTATATTATTAAGTAATAGCTTTTAAATATTGACGCAATAGTGCATTCTCATAACTCAATATCACGTCAGTACCTAAATTTCTTTTCCTCAATAATGAGATAGATCTTATCTCGTTTCAAGATACACAGTAGTATTTCTAAAAGTAATTTCTCTATATGATTTGTCCTGATATGTACTTGCTCTAGAATGCATAAAAGACTGCCTATTTAATAATTTGTCATAAAGTGAGGTTGTTATAAATATATATACCAAGATTGATTACTATATTGAAAAATTCAATAAATTTTCTCGGTAATTTGGATTGTCACCCCAAAAGAAAATGATTAAGTTTGATACATAAAATTCGCTTACTTTCAATTCTTCGAAGATGACGTTTCGTAAATGATTCACTTTCATCATATGCTAAAGCTTCTAATAGCTTTTAATAACATGCTAGAAAAAAATTATAGTTGCACCGAATTATCAAGTCAATTGGAAAATAAATATTGTATCAACATTGCGTATTTAGCTTATTAGTCCTATTAACGTTATTGAATGTACTACTGTGTATCTATTATCGATAAGTTGGTATATATGTATATCATTACAATCACAATATGCATGACACCCTATGCAAAAGTTTCTGATCAAAGAGCAGAAAACTTGTACTATGGTAAGACACAAATCGACGGTACGTAGTGACAGGGGAAAGAGAAATTCTAGCTGCATAATCCAGAGGGATCGACAAGTCCTCTGGCAATAAGCTCAGCCGTGGCAGGGTCACCGCCGCCTTGTTTACCACTTGGTTGCCCTGCAGACGATTGCGCGTGCTGGTCGCAATGCGTGCGTATATGAAATAAAAATTCGGCCTTATCTGTGAAATCCGCGCGACACATTAAGCAGAAATGCCTATCGGACGGGTAAGACTGCGGCGGCGGCGCAGACCCGGGAAAGTATGGGGCGGCATGTTGTGGCGGCGCGGACGTCTCCAAATGAGATCTGTGATAAATCAAAGTCAGTTTTATAAATTAAGATTTATTAATATTGAAAGTAAAGAAATACTAACCGAGCATGCTGTGCCCATTCCTCTCTGAGAGCGAACATTCGTCCGCATAGTTCGCAAGTCCAGCTTACTGGCTCCTCTTTCAGTTTATGAATGCTATCTTGGCGTGATGTCTGTTGCTGTTGTTGCTGCGCTTGCTGTTGCTGTTGTTGCTGCTGCTGTTGTTGCTGCTGTTGATCGGATCTCGGTGTCGTCGGCGCCGAGAGGGGTGAAACGCCAGGTCTGTGTCTAAGTTTGTTCATGTGAATGACCAATTTATCTCGACGTGCGAATGCTTTACCTGTAACACATCGCATTTTTTTTTCTTCAATTATTTCCATTATTTAAAAAAAATTGTTCTAGAATTAAAAATATTTTTATATATAATACGAGTCAACAAAGATAATTTTCACGCTCACCGCATACTTCGCAGGAATATGGCTTCTCCCCAGTGTGTATACGCATGTGTATGACAAGTTTATCTTTACGAGCAAGTCCTTTGCCGCACACGGTGCAAGCAAATGCTTTCGTAGTCGGCTCGCCTGTGTTGGTTGCCTTTGAAACGGATCCCGGACGAACGCCCACGCTATTCGTCGTCGTCGTAGTCGTCCGTAAGGGTTGATTCACCGGTGCTCTAAACTGTTGGTCCGTTGCACCAGGAAATGCCGGCATCATGCTACCGGGACGCATCGCGGCAGAATAATCTGACGACCTGCAAAAGACAGAACGCAACAATCAAGTTGCAATCATGTGCTTCTCTTCAAAAACGGATGCAATTATAATACGTAGAACTCTCTCTTTCTCTCTCTACGAAAGAACCAATCAAATATCTGTGAAATATAGCAAAATAAGATTTTGATGTTAAAAATATTATATAAGAAGTGTTTTTGTGTGTAAATGAAAACATTTTCTTCTTCGTAATCTCTTTTATTCTTGAAGCTAGACGACGTGTGGGAACACTACAATCGAAAAACGGATTCGAGAATGGAACTATTTTTGGCAGAGGATAATGCTTGAAGAAAAAAAAAAATTTATTAAAAAATTGTTCTCTGTCCAAACGAAATATCTTATATATTTTACACACCATGTTCCAATAGAACGCAGCACCCGCACCCCGTCATCATATCCGAGCCCGTCGTCCGGTAGAGTAAACGTGGGGTTGGGTGGTTGCGGAGCCGCGGGTGGTCCAGGTCCGGCTAATCGCGCCTGAGCGGCCTGTTGGGCCATGTGCTGTTGCAATGCCGCATGTGCTATTGCATGCGATTCCACGTAAGTTGAGCGCTGCTGCTGCTGCTGCTGTCCCCCGTTTGACATCTTGTCTTTATCCTAAATTCATTTCGTTCGTTGACTCACGCGATAATTGACGGCAATTGTTTACTTAATAAAGAAAATGCTACGCAAATTTATGTTGCAAAAATCTGGTTTAGAATTATACCTCCAACGAGACGCGAAATAAATGGAATTTTTATCAAGTATCTTATCTCGTTTAATTTCGTTTATGTTATTATTGATGACGCATTAAAAACAATAAATATAATCGTATTTTTTAAATAAATAGACTCGTCGACATTACAACGTTACAGTATCTAAATCGTTATTTTATCTTATATAATTGTAACTGCAAGTTCGTAAATAATTAAGTCCCCGATATGTGTCCCAATTATGTATTATTCTTTATGGCGTCAAATCATGTGATGGCGCTTAAAGAGGGCTTTACGAAGATCGAAAATCTCTGTGTACACAGAGGATATGGATGGAATGCTTTTGAAAAAGCAATCAAAATCCGATTTTTATAAGTATTCCTGTACTTATTTTAAAGCAAATATTGTAAAATATTCATTTAACATCTACAAGTTATTCTTGTATAAACTTCAATTTTAATATGAGTTTTTTTCTCTTCACGTAAATGTCCAGAAAGCGCAAGTGCGATTTCTAGCACTCCCTCTTTCGATGCATCTCATGTTATCGCTTTGTCAAGGTCTCTCCGAGGAAAGAACAACAAGGAAAGTTTATTAAACGCGTTAGAAAAGAGAGACTCGAGAAAAATTTAAACAAGATCATTGTTAATCCAATGTTAGTGCATTTTTTCCCTATATCCAATAATTTTCTCGGAGAGATTATCAATACAGGCGTAACTCTCGATAAAGGAGCGACAACTATTTCTGCATCTGAAATTTCTAAATGCAGCCAAACAAAAAGAAACCCCAGAAAACATTCAATAATGGCCGAAAAGTAAGGAACGCTCCGGAAGAAGAAAGAGACAGGAGAAAGAAGCCATCGCACGAGTCGATCGTTCTCACAAAAGAAACGGGCAGCCGTCTTTTTGGAGGCGCTTACCACGCACCACAAAATCCTAACTACGTTCCAGAGGGACCGTTGGGCTCCGGAATCGAGAGAGCACCTTCGATCGACGAGAGACGGCTTTCCGATAAGATCGACCAATTCAGATTTTCGATTTTCACAGCACCGTAGAGAGAAGGAGAAGCAAAAACTTTGCGCTCATTTTCGGCGAGGATCAAAATTCTCGCTCGCTTCCGAGTCACATCCAGAACAACGACACAACCGCACAAGACGATGCACTCGATGTATAACACTCACACGCTCGTTCGCGCGTGTTTCTTACGCGCTTTCGTGCTTTTCGACGAGGCGTCGACGGAATCTCGCGGCTCACGGCGAGAGAGAACCCGCGAAGCTGGCCGTCGCCGCCACCGCCGTTGATTCCCGGCGCGGGAGGATGCAAGGACAAAGAGGCGAAAAAAAGCAGCCGGCGGCGCGCGGAGGGGATAAGCGCGAGACGACCGGGGAGACGGCTCCCTCGCTGTCGGACTTCGAGAGGAGAAAAAAGAAAGACAGAACCAGGTGAAGGGAGAGAGGAGGGGAGGCAGAGAGAAAGAGAGAGAGAGAGAGAGAAAAGCGTGAACGAGATTGTATTTGTATGTGAAGATGATGAGGGCGAGAGGAGAGGAAACGGCGAGAACGAAGTAAGATAGAGTCGGTGACACACACGGACGGAGCTGCGCGCGATACAAACGATACCGAGCGGAGGTTCCCCGCGGAATGCACTGTGGCCAGCGTGGAGCCTCGTCCAGGGATGCGACGGAGAGGAGGCGAACGCACAGGCACGCTGATGGGGCGACCACGATCGAGAGAAAGAGAGACAAAGCAGAACGGTCGGCCGAGAGGGAAGAATGAAAGGTGCGTGTTTACGTGTATGCATGCGACGATGATTCGTGTGTATCACTTTCACGGCATGAGAGAGAAAGAAAGAAGAAACGGGAGAGATCGTGAGATAGAATAGAAAGAGAAATAGAGAGGCGGATGTGGATAAGAAAGAGAAAGAAAGGTAAAGACGACCAAGATCCAAAGGAAGAAGGACCGCTAGCACACTGGAAAATATATATCGGATGGATAACCCCGGAATGCAGCGAATGGTCAACACGACCAAATTAGAGTAAGCGAGATACGAGAATGGTGTATAGGAGACGACGAAGAAGACGAAAGATGCAGTTACTCGTAAGAGTGTCAATTTGCGTGTAAGGGTGCCAATGTGTATATAGTTCACTTTCATCCTCTCTCTCTCTCTCCCCCCCTCCCTCCCTCCCTCTCCCTTTTGCTCTTTCTCTTTCAACGTATACGTTACACAACTACCAATGAGGGTAACACACGAAGATACACAAGGAGCATCGCCGCTATGTGTCTGTGCAATAGTGGTAGCAGCGGCGACGGCGACGGCGACCGGTGCGTCGGCCCGCTGACCTTGACACTGACATTGAGAGAGCGAAAGAGAGAAGGCGAGACTCGGGAGGAGAGGGATGGATGAGCAGAATTTGCGCGCGCGCACGCGCCCGCAACACGGGAGCGAGACGCCAGGGACGACGAGGACATCGCGCGATCCTCCTCGTCGCGTCGTCCTTCGACAAGCCACCGCCGCCGCCACCGATATTCCGGAACGTTGGCAGAGAGAGAGAGAGAGAGAGAGAAAGAGAAAGAAACAATCACCCACGTAACGAGGCTGCGTCGATCGTCGGGATATCCCGGGTTTCGAAACAGGTTTCTCGGAGGTGCGCGAGCCCGGCAACTCACGTTGCACCTGTGCCTAGGATTGCCGGATCGGCAGAAAAGAGCAGGGATGGATGGAATGAGGATTCAAGCGATCCAGGTTCGAAAGAGAGAGAGAGAGTACGGGACTGATGGAGGAGGTAAAAGGAGACAAAAAAAGAGAAGAGGAAGAAGAGAAAGGATAGAGTAGAATTATAGTATAATAAAGAATAAAGGATACAAAGGCAGTATAGAATTAGGATCATGCTCTATGACTAAGTTTTCTAGGAACATGTGACGCACACGAATATACACATTTATTCATGTAAAGAATATAAATGAAAAAAATAGAGAAGTATGTTAAAAGATATTGCAAAATGATTGTGATGGCTTTCTCACAGATGCGAATTATAATTGCAAACCTTTCTTAAGAAACGCATAAAAAACATAGATAATAGCATTACATCACACATACGAAAAGAATACATTGTACAGAATGGAAAAGCAATTATACTCCGAAGAATACACAGAGAAGAAACAAATGGAAAAAGATGAAACGCATAGGAGGAATGCAACGGAATTGAGAGAAAGAGAGGCATTACGTGACGTAAACGAGAGAAAGAACACGGCAGGTGGATGGGAAATAGGTTGGCGAAGCAGACAGCAAGGGTGGAAGGGGGGCCAGAGGGGGACAGTCGAGACGGAAGGAAGAACGAAGTATACTACGACTTTCGCTTTCTGTGCGCGCGACGCGGCTCGCGGTCGCGACGCGCCGATCAATAGATGCGCCGCGACGTCGGTCGTCGCGCTCTCCTCCTCCTCCTCCTCCTCCTCCACCCTCGTCGCTTTCACCATCTCCCTGCATCCCTTCTTGCCTCCCCGCCGGCGTCTCCGTTACATACGCGAGGGTGGAATTATTGAGATCGCGCGCCGCCGGGTGCACCAGACAGGGAAGGGAAGGGAACGTGTGGGGTCAACGGAGATCCGAGAACCTCCGGCTACCGATCAGCGACGCCCCTGTGCCCGTTTCCTCATCCCTCTCGTGAGCCACCCTTTCGACAGGATCCGTGCTCTCTCATCTAACTATCCCTGTCTTTCTCGCTCGCCGCTATCGGAAATACTGGAAAGGGAAAAGGATACGACGCCCTTAGCGAGACTTCTCGCCCCATTGATGATACTCTCCAAGGTTGATTTCTTCGATGTCTAATTAATTCTATTCGCAAGTTAACCACAATCCTAAAATGATATCTAGTTATTGCAATGATAAATAAGATAGAAAGATATTGTGAATATCTCTCTAAATTACTGAGTTACTATAAAGGAGATAAAGTAAAAGAAAGAGAGAAAAAAGGCTTCAATGAAGCTATATCGATGTAAAATCGTTTTAGTGTGTTACGAATATTATCGCATGCTTTTACGAGATCACGAAAGAGTCTCGCGCACTTTACGTACTAATAAAACACTCTAATCAAAAATAATAAAATTATTCTAAATCATATCGAAGATCTCGTAAATGTAAGTTTCGCTTATTCTATGAGAAAACAAATTCTCCGACAAGTTTTGTTATAACGATAGTTATTTTTATATATGTATTATACGATATTAATATGCGTCACTTGACGATAGTATTATTATTTGTTAATATCGATAAAATATTTCGCAAATTGAAAAGAGATAATGCAAAATTCGAACTCGATCAAACACGTAATCTTTTCGTTGTTCTAATTTCAATTCGCAACAATAGATAGTAAAAATATCATTTTATCATGTTATTATAAATTATATCATTAAGCTCTTTATAATTTAAAATTCGCCTTGTATAAAAAAAAGTTTTATTTACCTGAGTGAGCGCAGCAATGTTCTTTAAACTATCGGCATAATTCTTCAACATTGTTTCCGTGGTAATGCAACTGAGACGAAATTCATAGAACATATCCAATTTGTAGATACACCTTTGACAAATATTTTTTGGCAATCCATCCTCTTTTGTTACCTGCAATAAAATAATTTTATTTTTTTCTGATTTATAGAAAAATCGGTTAAGGCAAAATTGAGCCTGATTTTAGTTTCTATGCAATAACAAATATTTTTGCTAAATTAAAGCTTTGAATAAAATTAAGTCTTTACAAGACTCTTTAAAGACTCTTTACAGTGTTTAGCTTGACTCTGGATGCATATCCTCAAGCTCCACATTATTAAAATATGAAATAAAAGAAATATACCAATTTAATAACTATGAATAGCAACATATTTTTACAGAATTTCTAAATATTTTAAAATTAATACATATATCTATTGTTTTATAGAAATAGTAAAAATCACTATATAGTAAAGTTAGAATAAAATAGTATATCAATGATATTAATATTGGAAGGTTGGAATGATCTCTTGCACATATTATACACACAATTAAACAATGCAATTCTAACTACCCTTAAATATTTATAACACAGCGGTACCTCTTTGATTTTTAATATCTCGCGATTTCGAATGACTTGAAGTTCACAATTTTATTTTTTATTTTATATATATAATATATATGTGTTCCTTCGTATAGATTTTTAAAAAATATCTCGTAATGTAATAAAAAAAAAATTAAAAATTTTACGAGAACTGTCCGCTTAACTCTCGAACGCATTTTGATCAGGATCGAGACCAGCAATTTGACCAGGACAATAACAATTATATTGCGGATATTTCTGACTCTACATACCACGGTGGGAATGCAGGAGCGTATCTTGAACGGCAGCTGCCGTTGCTCGCCCTCCTTGTCGAATATCTGCAGCTGGTGGTTGCTCTTCAGCGAGCAGAGTCTGCAGAGTTCGGCGAAATTGAGATCCTCGTTCATTGCCATTGTCGTCTCGGAGTAGCACAAACACGCGCAACGCCTGGCGGCCGATTATCAGGAGATAGGTTATGCCGTTCGATTTGCCGCACGCGGGCGATACGGAAAAGACGGACAGAGGCACGAAATCGGGACTCGAATAGGAATTGCAGTATCGCGTGCGTGAATATTGGAGTCGCGCGGGTGTCGATACAGAAAATACGGGATTGATGTCGGGAAAAACTAAGCCTCACGACCGGAAGAGTCGGACGCGGCCATTTCTGCTCCGTTCCTGTCGCGATGTCGCGATCGCCGCTCTCGACAAGTCTTCAACAATAGAGTCTCTGGCCTCTACCCGACACCCGCCACTTTCGAATCCGGTATGTGAAATTACTTCTGCCTAGACTATAAAACAGTTTAGTACCTTTCAGACGCAGAAATACGTACATATATTACTTTCATTTTTATATAAAATGTTGTCTCGTTCGACCGATATGTCCAGAAAGTGCAATAAAATATTTCGTCGGCGAGCGCACAAGTCGCGTCTACGAAACAAATATGGCGCTCGGGATAAAGCGACGAATAAAGTGACTCTAGAGAGGCATCGATGCAGCATCGTCCCGCCATCTGTTGAGTGCAACGAACGATAGCGTATAAGGTTGCAGAGCGGCATTTCCTATGTGTTAGAATCCAAAACTTTATTAACGATTGCAGTAGTAAAAACCAACAATGTTGTAGAAGAATGTGGCGTGGATTCTTGCTAAAGATATTTTTAATTTGATTCATGATATTTCTCATTTTTTTTTTCTTAAAGTTAAGGTAACGTTATAAATTATGCGTCAATTTTGCAAAGAGTGCTCGCAAATATCGTATTTCGTTCTTATAGTAATTGTACAAAATATTATACATCTTATATATTATACATCTATTTACAAAGTTTCGTCGAGTTCTTGTGGCGATATTATATCTACAATATACAATTTCTCTGCTCTATATAAAACGAAAGCAATATAAAATTTAATGCTCTTCTCTCTATTCTCTCTATCTCTCTCTGTTTTCTTTAAGAGGATTTTAAGAATTTATTTAAAAAATAATAAAATGCTAAAGATACGCATCTTTTGATACATCTTACTTAGTTCATTTCATTAAAATTGGTTTTGTTATGGGATACACATATCAAATTCAATGATTTTACTCCAATTTCAATTCCAGTGATGATCGAGAACAAGAATAGAAAAACAATTATGATTAATTTCTTGCACAACAATGCAGACTTTTCGATATCACTTAACGCATGTATTATATATATATTATATATAATATGTTTCAAAAAATCTCGTTACATCGTTTTTTTTTTGTTTTTGTTTTTTTTTTTTTTTTTTACATTTGCCTGATGCTTTTGTTTCTTTCGTGTCATCCAATTTTGGTTAATTGGCCTTTTTTCTCATTTAAGGCTTTTTTCTGACTCGGCCAAATTAGTCAAACAAGAAAGAGAGAGAGAGCGTCATTTTTATATCGTGTACATTATCGTTATCAGCGATCATACGAAGTATTATAATAAGCAATTTCAAAAGTGTCGACTGTAATTGTTCGGAAAATTGAGAAAAAAGATACTTATATAAAATTTATTCTTGCTTATAATAGTCTATTATATCTATCACTGAGATCCACGAACCAAATCCTAACGCTAATAACGCGAATATAAGTAGAAAGGAATTTTTCCATAGCCGCCATTTAAAGGTGCCCAAATGATTCTCCCAGCACGAAATTGTCTCGATGACAGCTGGGATGCTGATGCCGAGGATGGAAAAAAAAATCGCGCCGACTAGAGAGATGAATGGGTCCAGCTTGGGCACCGCTACCGCTACGATCACTGTAAATATCGTAGGTATATCGGTCATTATCTTACAACCAGAAAAAATTACATTTACGTTAGAAATGTACACATAAAATTTTTAATTTTATCCAAAAATGTCATTGCTATCAACGAGTTCGATGATATTTTTATTATATTACATCACTCTCACTGTATATTGTCCCATTCAACAAAATTAATGAGAGATTTATTTGAATAAGCTGAAAGTTGCATTTTTTTGCAATATTTAGATTAATGTAGCATTTAATGTAGCATTCATGACCTACTGGGCTCTAGGGAAAAGAATCTCGGAGATGGCGTGGCGAGAAATCAAATCGGAAGCAACCCGAACTGGATCAAGTCTAGTGCGAACTGACCCGAGCCGAGATAAACATATAGGTAAGCGATTCCTTTCTTTCTCAGTGCATTTGATAACAAAAAGATGTATCGTAGGTATACACGCGCGGAATAAGTGGGTGACACCGTTCAATCGATCTTGTACCGGGAGCGCGTGTGCCACATCGTAATTTGACAGCGGTTTCTCTGTCTCGTTGGAACATTGTCGGCGGAACAAAAAGATTCAACCATTATAAGAATATAAATAATACTCTATCGCGAAGATAGTATTAAAATTATCGCGACAAAATTATAGAAACGTGGCGTTCTCTCTCAAGCGCGATGAAGAACATTTGAAAAAGCATCTCTTTGAGTATTATGACTATTTGAACAATGACAGATTATTTACACGGTAATACAAATCAATCAACAATAAAATAAAATTATGTTTAGAAATGTTTTCTAGAAAAAAAAAATTCTTCCGTAATCTATACATTTAGATTAAAATATCAATAAAAAAATATACAATGCAAAGAAAAAAAATTCTACGATGGATCTGAGATAAAAGAACACACACAAAAGCTTTTTTTTTAACCTTTAAGTCCTTTCTATACATCCGTTTATGGATATGAAAGAAGATATGAGTCTCCGAATATTGTAGGCGATTTGTTAGTCATGCGATTGTAAAAGCAACGGATGTTTTTTCGTGTCAAACTATTTCTATTCATTCACATGTGCCGCATTCTTTTTTCAATCGCGTAGAGAATTACTTGTGCTTTGTATGATCAGTCATTTGTATCTAACAACATCATTAACTGTAATTTATTTCATATATATTATCGTCGAAATCCATAAATTCTGCTAAAAATTTCTGTTGAATTATCAAGCACTCTAATACAAATTCTGATCATTCATTTAATCACATGAATTTTCTATCGCGCTAATTATCTATTCAATTTCAACTACAATATCAGAAAATCAGAGTGAAATCTTCGGATATAAAACACTTTACCTGTTATCATAACCATTCCTATCCTCATCATCGTCTCACTGATGGCCGCGTATTTGTGGCTGAACATGGGCTTAATGGCGTTCCAAAGGATCTCGAGCGGTACGAAGTACTGTAATCCATACGTGAAGAGAACGGCCGCGGCGATGAGGAGCTTCACTACTTGAGCGAGACTGAAACATTGCCCTTTGTCAGTCTATAACATGTTACGATGGAACATCCAGCAAGAGAGACACAATTCACTCACGTTTCCTCGATGGGTAGATTTAACGTGATGCTGGCCTCCACTGCCTCGCCGTATTTGAGGTAACCGAACACTCCCATCACCGCATACAGAATCACCACTATCGACATCGTGATGTTGAGTACGCTAGGACATCCCAGGAAGTGCTGCGGCTTCTTCATATTGTTCGCCACGGGCATCACCTGCGATCGCCATCATAACCGGATTTGAGAATGCGGAAGACGCCAAGAAATACGATTAAATACATTGATAACGTGGAACTTACAACGCCGATACCTTCGATGGCGAATATCACAGTCGCGAAGAAATGGGGCAGCTGCTCGGCCGACGAGAACAGCTTGACATTCTCGATCGATTTAACATTGCTGAAGATGTAGTAGAGCGTGATCGCGAAGCCGCTCATCATGAAAATGTTGGCCAGCATCGAGAACGGCACCAAGTATTTCAAATTGCGCACTTGACCGAGCAGCACCAATGCCGGGATCAACGAGACGATGTACAATCGTACATCTATATCCTTCCCGGTGCGGAAATCCGTGACCTGATAAGAAAAAAGGAGATGCACAGTGAAGGCAGGAAAGATCGATTGCGCAACTTATGGAAGGGCTCGAGGCAACATTGCGGCATAGTTTCGCAGAGGAAAAAGATACTCGTACGCTTATAAAAAGAGGATAGACAGAGTCATTCCTTCAAAAATGCGATGGAATACTTTCCTTACATCTTTCTATGAAAATAACCTATTGTTTAAGCAATGAAATGTTTAATATTCATGTTTATGTTTTTCTATTCGTAAATACGTGCTCTCAAAATTTTTGCTATTTCTACTTTTAACATATTTTTTTTTAATTTGTGTATGTGTGTGTGTGTGAAGTCATTTTTACTATAATATAATTTGAATTAGGACAGTCTTAACTTCGAAAACAGAAAGATAAAACAAGATGTATTTAAATATCATAAAAAAAATATCATAACAATATAAAATAAATAAAATAAAGTTTTTTAATTAAACAGTTGAAAATAATTAGACAACTTGCGATACGTATTCAGTCATTGAGTCGATAATAACAAAAAAATTGTAATTAGAAATGATCAAACTGAGCAATAATTACATCTGGATAAGTAGCAATTATGTTATCGCTATGTTACCAAACATAATTTTTTTTAATTACTTATTAATGTTTATTTTAATTTAAAAACTCAATAATCATCGTGTATCGAAAGATCACTCGTTCGATATCGCACAAATCATAAAAACCGTGAATCGTCAGATTGCCTAGTATGACGACAAATGAAAATGATAATCAATATGGTAAATATACTCAAAAATTTTTAATTACTCGAAAAATTTTCATGCTCATACGTATTACGTTAAGTTAAAATACGGTAAAAATGTATCGATAGCTGCACTCATCGTGCGAGAGCACAGCTCAGCGCAAGGACAATATCATGCAGTCATAAGTTATGTAAAGGTGCGTACCTGCTTAAGGGACGCGGCAATGAACACAACATAGACACATGCACCGCCCACGTATGTCGCGCACAGCGCCGTGTTCACGAATATCTTGCTGACGAATGCCCAGGGCCTGATCGGCTTGGGTCCGCAGAGAAAGGCCGCGTACGCCGTATCGGCGTATGTCATCTGCGGCGTTTTAGTACGCCGACAGAGCACATGAGACGTACGCACCAGTATGTGCACGCAGTGGGCACAAATGATACCGATTATGATCGTGCCGATTCCGCCGAACAACACACCTCCGTTCTTAATAGCTTTCGGCATGGCCAGGATCCCCGTCCCTAGGGAGGATTTCAAGAGATGCGCCGTGGCGCCTAGATCCCTGAAACGCATAATCAAAACTATGATAATAATCTCATTTCATTTAATCTCATCTCATTTCAGTACAGGAGTAAAATGCAATTAATTGTAAAAATTGTAAAAATTAATTTATTTTTTTGCAATAAAAATTACATATATTGTTAATAGAATCTGAATTAGACGAATTGTGATGAATTTAGCACGAATTGTGTGTATTAATATCGTTATACCATAAGATAAATATGATCTTTGTATTTATGGGCAAAAATTGTTCTAAAAACAATCTTTTTTTTTTCTAATGCATGATTTGAGATTATATCTTGTCACACTAAATAAAATTTATCCTTGAACAAATATATTCTTTTCGTTATTATCTGAATGTATCAAGATCATCAAACATGTTTAAACGATTTCTTATCGCAATATAGGCTACTGCAATTTTGAATTTTTCCTGATAATCAAACAAAGACAGAGACCACATTCTTAAAATTAAACGATGAATTTGCGTTTTTGCGTAAACATATACGCGAATATAATTATTGTCTAGTAATTTGAATATTAAAAATAGAATGCTAGAAAATGCACAGTATTATCAGGAGAAGTATGAAAAATACATATCAACTTGCTGATAAAGATTCTAGAACAAAACTTACGAAGTTGCATTCCGCTTGTCACGATGCTCGAAAGGATCGTACAGTTCATCTTTTTCTTTATACTCGCCAATGATGTTCGGAGCTATTTTCGTGCTAAAGATGGGGAACATGAATTATTAAATAAATTCAAAAGATATTCACACTTTAATAAACACAACGAGACAGAAAAAGGTAGCAGCAAAAACATATTAAATTATGAAAATTTTTGATAGAAAAATAAATTCAAAGCGAGAGAAATTAATATTTCTAATATTTTTTATTTGTATTATCATCTCTTTCAAAATTAATTAAGTTTAGCAATAGAATATCTTTTCTTTCTCCAATTCTTATAATAATATTTTTCATATAAACATGGAAATATTTATACAAAGAGAGGTATTTGATTTCTAAAAGATATTTTTGTTACATTGCTTTTTTAGGCACTCAATATATGTATATTGCAATGCGTTATTTTCTGATAAACAATACGTGATACAATATTGTATATAATTGTATATAATTTGGAGAAGATTATTTCCGATAAATATTTATATGTAATGTCATGCAACTCGCCGAATTCAACAATCAATAATTAAGACACTTAAAGAGTATTGTATGGAAAAACCGAGTTAATACAAAGCGTTTCTTATCTTCGCGTAAACGCGATATGATCGCATTCCATGAAAATCATCATCGATCAGTAACGATTATTTTTACAGACACTGAGTATACAAAGAATGCGTTATCTACAATTGATGCCTATCAAAAACGATGACTCTACTCATTAAGAGAGTCCTTGTCAATTTTGCTCGTGTTCATCGTTATCGCATGAGTTGCATAATTTCGGCAAAATATCAGTATCAACAAAACTTTTTGTAATGCAATCAACGAAATATTTATTCTAATCAATATTTGTAAATTTCTATCATGGTATCAAATATTAATGAAATGGCGAAAGTACCTGCTGCTGAATTCCTTCATATCAGTGGCCGATTCCTCTTTCTCTATCCGACCCATGGTTTTCCTAAAAACAACGGATCTATATGAAAATTGCCAGCAATTTAGTTTTATGATTAAATATATGTTATAATATATAATATATAGAAATATAGATTATTACAGTTGTTTAAAAATGCGTTATTAGGATGTTAATATTTTTAATATTTCTAACTTTTTAATGCAAATATTCTTTATCATTATAAAATAGACACATCAAGTTACTGGGAACAAATAAATAGTTTTTTCTCTATTACATTCTCAACTCTATCTAACTTTATCTAGATCGGTGATCTTGAAAATACAAAACAACGTGAATCGCAGACGTATCAAATCAGATGCATCCGATAAACGTCATCGGATCAAGCATGCTGTTTGGAAACATAATGCTTCTTCGCTGCCGTTTCATTGTAAATATAAAATATGTCTGACTCTACTAAACAAATACTGACTGCTCGCGAGTTTTTATACTGACGTAAATCAGTGTAGGAGTGTAGTAATCCAGGAAGTCTTTTCAAGAGCAATAAAAACAAACATATTAATTATATATAATTGCTATTTTAAGAGCAACTTTTTCTTCGTGCAAAATTACCTGTTGACATCATCTGCAACAATATGTTCATTAAGTTCTTATACTCCTGAATGTCCTGAATGTCCGTAATATAACGAATCGCGAGAAAAAAAATTAATGAAATGCACTGTATTATTGCAATATTTATTTAATCGGGAAATACTAAAGTCAAGCTTCATTTTGAGATTATAAGAATTGATGAATCCTTTTTATCTTGGCAGTTACATATGTCAATATTGAGAAAGACACTCGAGTTAAATAAATACTTGGCGTCGCGACGCTACCGCGTCGCTTGATCTACGAATCTCTTTAAAATTACTTCTTTTGTGATAAGATTAGCATTTTTTAATGACGTCTTAGATTTATATCACTTTTAATTTTCTCAGTTTATATCACTTAAATAGATAATATTAGAAACAAATTTTTCAAAAAGATAGAGAAAACATAGATAAAGAGAACAAATATCAATTTTATTTAATCAGTATAAAAATTTGACAAGCCAGTAATTAAATCTGTGAAAAATTGTAATTGTATAAAGATTTGTTATAAGTTGTGAATCGCAACATTATAAAAAACTCAATTATTATTACTTATAAGTTTTTATTAAATATTTTGATTTATTAAAATATGCATTATGTATGTGTGTATGTATATGTGTGTGTATTAATGAAAACAATGAAAAGTGTGAGAAAAGACGTAAAATAGCTACCTGATGCGAGCTTATTATCGGTAGAAATAATCAGTTATATAAAAGAACATGTACAACTATATACCCACTAGGTATTCGATAAAAGTGCGTTATGATACTTCACCTTGACCAATTTTCTCAAAAGTTTCTCTGACATTTATTTGCCGATAAAAGCTAACACACTGTTTATTTCGATGGCCGATGACGAAATTTTTTGCGAATTACGATCCAGTGGACAACTCGAACTGAGATTCGCTTGAGAAATTAATGGGAAATAAAAAAAGGCGGAGTTGTGCAAGAGAATCTGTTGCGCTCGAGATTGTAGCCAGCCGATAGTGCGACCAATTGACTTGATCTGCTTTCGCCATTTTACGTAAAAGTGGCAGGTAAAATGTCCCCTCCCCCTCGACATTACGCGAACGAATGCACTGTGATCGCACATTGCGATAACAAATGAATTTGTAATTGGAAAACCTTGGAGAATCCTTTGAATGCGTTTGAACGAGTATTCTGTGTACATACACATGCGAGAGATTTTAATGTCGCGAAAGATTCGCATAATTAAACGAGATTACGTCTTATAAATATTTCAGTACAAAAAACCACAAAGGATTATGTCAAGAATATCCTTACTTGCAATTAATGTCGACAATTTGCAGAGATAAAACTTTATCTGAAAAAAAGTATTAAAAGTTATCGAAAAATTTATAATAATATAATTATATAATAACAATTAAAAATGTATGATTAAGTACATGTAATTTTTTTTGTGATATAATTTAATACTTTATAAAACTTTAAATATAATAATATCAAAATATACTGATTTTTTGTTAAAGGATTTTAATTTTTACGATAAATTATATTCGTTTATCTTATACATTAATAAAATTAGAAAAAAAATATTTCTTTTTCTTTTGTTCAAAAAGCTATATTAATATTTTTATCTGCACGTGTCATACCGAGATATTATATGAAAAAGTACGTGAGTGAATTTTGTAATCTATAAATTCTTTATAAGTTGATCAATAAATTAATTTTAGCGAAGTAGATTAATTCACAGAAGACTTATAGATAAGTTATAAATCAAGAATCGAGTTGAGTGCACAAGTACATTTTATTACTCTTGAGACGCAAAAGAATTTTATTAAATGATATTTATAATTTGCAGAGTAGATTGCAATTAACACTTGTATCTTTTGCATTAATTTTCTATGAATCATAGCTTTTGTACATAATTTAATATCTCAAAGTTTTTAACTCTTGTATCTTTTGTTTGTTAAAGGATTTTAATTTTTACGATAAATTATATTCGTTTATCTTACACATTAATAAAATTAGAAAAAAAATATTTCTTTTTCTTTTGTTCAAAAAGCTATATTAATATTTTTATCTGCACGTGTCATACCGAGATATTATATGAGAAAGTACGTGAGTGAATTTTGTAATCTATAAATTCTTTATAAGTTGATCAATAAATTAATTTTAGCGAAGTAGATTAATTCACAGAAGACTTATAGATAAGTTATAAATCAAGAATCGAGTTGAGTGCACAAGTACATTTTATTACTCTTGAGACGCAAAAGAATTTTATTAAATGATATTTATAATTTGCAGAGTAGATTGCAATTAACACTTGTATCTTTTGCATTAATTTTCTATGAATCATAGCTTTTGTACATAATTTAATATCTCAAAGTTTTTAACTCTTGTATCTTTTGCATTAATTTTCTATAAATCATGGTCTTTGTAAACAGTTTAATATCTCAAAGTTTTTAACTCTTGTATCTTTTGTATTAATTTTCTATGAATCATAGCCTTTGTAAATAGTTTCATATCTCAAAAGTTGCATTTTACATTCAATAAATTATTTAACAAATGATAACTGTTTTGTGTATTCAACACGCGTTTGCAGTAGACGATCGTTGTCTGACGTTGCAAGAGATCCTATTATTACAAAAGATACTATTTTTATCTTCTATAGCAAAAAGTTAAGTTGCCTGGAAGTTGTAACTTTCTAACTTTCACAAGTTAGGATTAATTTAAAAAAAGGATAATAATATTACTCATAATATTACAAGAGTTCCCTACGAGAAATGTTCATCAATATCATATAAAAAAAAAATTCAAATTTATATTATTTTAATAATTTATTCTGGGAAATTATTAACTCTCACGACATAATTGTAATCGAAATAATAATAAGATTATATAAATATTATTTTTTAACGCGAACCGTGTATTTTTATCGCATTGATCATTCATCGTATGCTAATGCAAAAGAGCATGAGCACACATTGAGTGGAATTAAATCACTGCTAATCTTGTACTTATCAGGATAATCACCCATAGAAGTTGTTATCGCTCAATTCTCTCGCAACGTAAATCCGCAATCTTTCTTATGCCTACTGTAATATGAACATTCACTTCAGAAGGATTAACTGTTACCAGTCATTCAATCTCTCGGCAAATATTAGCATGATGTTTATAGTTGTCGTGTAGCGTAATAGTATTTATGAGACATGCACTGTAATCTCATTGCATCAAAATAAAATGGCAGACTTTTCGATAACTCTGGAATCGATTTTTAATAGAACTTTTTTAATAATAGATATCTAGCATCTAATTAATTAAATTGAAGGCAAAAACTATTGAATTGTAAATTAGAGATAAAATTAACAATTAAAAAT